CCCAGTAACGTCTCCATTGGAGACTTTGTTGTTACTGTGTTTGGCATTTCGAATACATCATGGGTAGCTTGCCAGGCTCTGCCGTGCAGGCGAGATACTCTCGGTAGCTTGCCGGGCTCTCCGAAAGAGGCGGAGGAATCGAACTCGGGTCGGCGATGTTGGCTGTGTGTAAGGCAAACATCCTACCACTGTGCTATCGCTCCAGCCCGCCAAATATGTTAATTATGTGAATTAATGTTATAGCACCAACGACCTGTATTAGGAAAGATTCTTAAATAAAATAACTTGGGAGCCTTGGAGGGAAAGAAGCAAATGAAAAATGAAAAGGGAAAAGACAAATCAGTAATATTAAATAATGAGAACGGTTGTCCCCTAATAACCACCAAGAGTGATCCATCAGCAGAGAGGCAGGGATCTTACTCCAAGTTCTGAGCAGGTTTGGAGTAAGACCAAAGCATACTTTGCTCAGTGTGGCTGCAAAACCAAAACACAAAGAATTTGGGTAAAGCACTCCAAGATATATAGGGAGAAAAACTAATATGAACATTGATGCCAATAAATTTAACGACAATTAACTAATATGCTTTGTAACTTAGGAACTGATTGGCTTTGAATATTATTCACTCCTGGGCATCTGCTTTCTCAACTTAAGCCTCAGTTGCCCTCACTTCCTAGCACCCCAAGGGCAGGGTCCCGACATGGGACTGGATGGAACCAGGGCAAGCCAGTAAGTTATGTGCTACCCTGGCATCGCGATGGGCCAGGCCAAGGTGCCACGATCCTTAACTATAGGTTAAGAGTTTGATCATAGGCAAATGCTGTCATGAGCCAAAAGTAATGACGAGACTAGGACCCTGCTGCTAGGAATAGGAAAGCTACCTGGCCTGAGCACTGCAGTCTGAGATTGAGGTGGCCCTAGGAGAGCAATTCTATATGCTCAAAGTATTTCTTACTGTGTCCATACAAAATGATTTATATCATGTATGCTTATATGTTGGTCGGACAAGGAGAGGAGAAACACATCCAGGGATGTTCTAGTGTGAGTTGATCTGCTAAATGAGAATCTGCCCTAGAAGCAGTTTTCCTTTGTGTCCTGACTAGCTTGGATGAGACTGAACTTTCTCCCCTTCAAACTGCCTTCAGTAAATGATTTCAGTATATTGAGGCAGTTTCCTTTATCTCACAGGAACCTAGCTGGCCTTAGGTAAGCAGATCCCAGGTGCTAAGCCAGGCCTGATCTTTGGGATGTAGATGCCTGGCTCCAGACAGGCTGATGTAGATTCCAAGCTCTAGCCGACTGGTCTTTGTTGTGCTAATCCAAGTGTTTGTAGTTTGTAAAAGGTGAGGTCAGGATTCCTGGACTGCAGATGTAAAGAAACAATGTGGATGTAAAGAAACAATGTATGGTTTGCTGCTTCAATGTTCTTTCTGTAACTCCTTTTGATGACATCACTATATTGCGCCCTTTAGAGGTACTATGATCTATATAAGGGAGATTTCAGGGCTCTCTGGGGGACACGTGCATCAATGAACCTGGGAAGATGGGGCTGAGGACAGAAGCTGAGAGAACAAAGGTGCACGTGCCTGAGAGATCCTGGGGCCTCCATGACATACATCTCTTCCATGTAATAAACTGCTGCTAAGACCAACCAGTCTGGGCCTCGTTTCCTTCTGATGTAGGCAGGTAGACAGGGAGGGCCCCCTCCTGAGGCAAGGACAAAAGCCAGCCCTCCAGAAAATAGCAAAACAGGAACTAAGGCTTGATAAGACCCTCATCTGGCTCTAGCAACAGACCCAAAGAAGCTCCTGCAGGAACAAAAGGCCAGGAAAGGAATTTCAAAGAAGACCATCACCATTCCCATCCTCCCTGGTAACCTCCTTAGCAAAGGACATTTACCTGGGAAGAAGCCCCACGTGGGGGCAGGTTGGAGAAACCCTATAAAGGCCACCTTGAACAAAGGGAGGGAGCGCATTTGCTGCCTGAGCCCATGTGCTGCTTGCACCCACGTGGCCGAGCACATGTGATTCCCAAACACATGTGTCGCCCGCATCTCCCCTCTTGAGATGTGTACTTTCACGCTTTCGTGTCTAACTTACTCTCTAACTCTCTCTCCCTCCCTCCATACCTAAAATCCTCCAAATAAAATCTATTTACTTCACTGCTTGTCTACTCCTGAAATTCCTTTCTGCGAGGCGAGACAAGAACCCAGCAACCCTGGGTCCCGAGTGGCAGAGGCGGGTGGGGAGAAAGTGACTGTCTTTCTCCTCCCCGCTTCACATAAGTCACCCGTGGGGCCCACCGATATCACTTCCTTCGCCTGACCATCGCCATCGACCTCCCTGGAGTGGGGAAACGGCTTGACTGTCGGCCTTTTTATTTTTTGTGTGTTCACACACACACACACACACACACACACACGCACACACACACATGTATCTATTAGAGAAACTGAACTTTTAGTTAAAAATATTATTGGGGCTGGAGTGATAGCACAGCAGGTAGGATGTTTGCCTTGCATGCGGCCAACCCGAGTTCGATTCCCAGCATCCCATATGGTTCCCCCGGGAACCGCCAGGAGTAATTCCTGAGTGCATAGCCAGGAGTAACCCCTGTGCATCGCCAGGTGTGACACAAAAAATATATATAATACATATATATTATATAAATATCATCACTGGGGTCAGAGAGATAGTACAGGGTTTATAAGGCAGGTGTTTAAGGCACGCATCTAGTACATATTAGGCTTAGGATCAGCCCAACACCACATATGGGCCTCAAGTCCCACTAGGAGATCTCTGAGCACAGAGAAAGATAAGTAATGTGCACAGATGGATATGGCTCCCAAAGCAAATATCTATGTATTATGTACCATGTATCTTTCTATATATCTATCATCTAACTATCCATCTATCTATCAATCAATCCACACACACAAAAACAAATAAAATTAGATTTCACTGGGAAATTCTGCCAAACATTTAAGGCATAAATAAAAGCATTTATTTACAAACTTGTATGAAATTGAAGATAAAGGAACAAATCCCAATTCATTTTATGATTCAAATTACCCTGATATAAAAAGAGGAAGAAGGGGGATGGAAAGGTAATACAGTGGGTAAGGCAGTAGCTTTGCTTACAGCTGACCAGGATTCAATTCCCAGCACCACAAAGGGTTGCCTGAGCCAGGAGTGATACTGAGCTCAGACAGAGCAAGGAGTAAGCCCTGAGCACTGCCAGGTGTGACCCCTCCAACAACAAAACAACCAAAACTCCCAAACAGTACCAACTAATAGCACAAACAGAAAAGAAAAACTATAAATCCTTATTCATATGCAACATAGATAACATAAATTTTAACAAAATGAAAAAAAATCAGAATTTATAGTAACTATTAGAATTAAAAATCTCTGTCAACAAAGACTTTAAATTGATATGTAAATTTACATTTTATATAAAATTTAAATGTATTAGCACAAAAATCACTGTGAATGACTAGGTTGCAGAGTTTCAGGAGTACAATCCTCCAATACTAACGCCCTCCCCAGTGTCCATTCCCCTCCCATGTTCCCAGTTTCACCCCATTCCAGCCTACCTGGAGTCATCCTACCTCTGTGGCAGGGACTTTTCCCCTCTGTGATTGTCCAAGTGTTCCTTTCCCTAACTTATCTGCCTCCTCCTCATGCTCCATCCCTGTAGCAAGCTTCGTACTGAACATCAGTTCTCCTGATCTCTTGCTCTTCATTTCTATTTCCGTTAAACATTTTCTTTCTTCTTTCTTTCTTTCTTTCTTTCTTTCTTTCTTTCTTTCTTTCTTTCTTTTTCTTTCTTTCTTTCTTTCTTTCTTATCTCCCTCCCTCCCTTCCTTCCTTCCTTCCTTCCTATTTTTATTTTTTTTGGCTGTTGTGGGTCACACCTGGTGTTGTTCAGGGATTGGATTATCCCTGACTCTGCACTCAGGAATCACTCCTGGTGGTACTCAGGGTACCATATGGGATGCTGAGAATTGAACCAAGGTCGGATGCATGCAAGACAAATGCCCTACCCACTGAACTACAGCTTCTGACTCTTCACTGAACACCTGATATTCTTTTAGGAAGTTTCTTTATACCCCACATCTGAAAAAGATCATTTTGAGTCTGTTCTTTTCCCTTTTACTCATTTCACACAATATGATCTTCTCTAGATACATCCACACAGCAGCAAATTGCATGATTTGATTTTTTCTTATAGCCAAGTAGTATTCTATTGGATACATGTACGGTCGTTCCTTTATCCAATCATCTGTTCTTAGACATCTAGGTTGTTCCATATTTTGGTTATTGTGAATAGTGGTGCAATGAACAAAGGACTGCAAATGTCTTTTTGGAATTTTGCTTTTGGACCATCGGGGTGTATTCCCAGGAGTGGAATTGCTGGGTCATATGAATGCTAAAAAAAAGACTGTCCATATTGACTTCCAGAAAGGTTGGATCAATTGACATTCCTGTCAGCAGTGGAGGCTCCCTGATTGACAGTACTGCAAATCCCAATATTAATAAATGTTTAAAATAAATTAAAAATTAAAATCCTCATCAAAATGGAAATAGTAAGGATATTTCTAAATTTGATAAAGATATCAACAAATAGCCTGCTGCTAGAATAACCATTGTTAGAACTCTGACATTGTGATGGAATTACTAATTTCTCTTCATAGTATTTACAATTTTTTGACAGATAATATATGACAGATTAAATTTACACACAATAGATTTAAGCATACATTTCAAACTACTTTAAAAAATATCAGAGCTGTTACTACAAGTACGAGATGGTCATTCTCTCTGCCTCTATCTAATCAATTTCCTAATTTCTCTCCATCGTTCTTCAGTCCCTGAAAACCAATAATTTTCTATCACTTATAATAGATGGAAAACTAACTCTATTTCGCTTGTTACAAAAAAATAAAAAATTCTAGGACATTGCTCAAAAGATATTTTTATTTTTCAAATGTGACCTCAGGTCTTCTTTCACATCTGCGAAAGTCAAGTTTTCAAATATTCTTTTCCAGATCTATAGTATCCAATAGAAATCAGCAATAAATACACAAAATTAAGTTACAGTTCCTTCTGTTTTCATGTACAGTTATAGTACAAGAGCTTTTAAAAAAGAAAGCTACATGTTTTTGGACCAAAACAATAACTCAGAATAATAGAAATAGTAAAACCATAAGCAAAGCATTAGAGGTTCTGGGGAAAATCTCTTCAATATTAAATTTGAATATTGACAAAGCTTTGGTGCTTTGGGTTGCCTCAGGACTCTTTCACTTAATGCATATTAGCCTAAAGTGAGCAATATGTCAAATTAATTTGCTTTGTTTGCTTTTCTCAACTTTTCAATGCCTATGAGGAACACACTTACTGAGAAGTTATTAAAGGCATTTACAGCACAAAACCCAATTTTGAAAATATGATATTTTAATAGTCAAAATGTCACTAAATTGAAAACTGTATCATAGTGTTTGATTGTCAAAAGGAAAATTAAAAGGAAAATGAGTTTAAAATTAAGCCATTTATGAAAAAAAGGGAAAAAAGCTTGTGAATGGCATTAATGGTTATTTCATGTTTAGATTTAATTTCTAAAAAATGACCCCAATTTATAATTTCTGAAAATTGGTAAAATTGGTGAGCAAAAATCAGTAACTATAAACATTATTTATCTTATATAACTCATATTAAATGAGCCCATTACGTTATAGTAAAATAGATTCTCATAGATTATATTGTCTTCAGAGCATACTTCAACTTAAAAACAGACTGTCATTTAATAATTTAGAGCTCTATTTTTTCGATGGTTTCAAAATCAGTTCAAATCAAATTATCATAAGAGAACGTAAAATAAATGAGTTAAATGTTTATCAGTAAGAAATAGCCAATTTATCTTTAAAAAAACAATCTATCTTTTAAATGAACCATGTATGGTAGAGAGTACATTTCATATGAAAAATTACAAATTGATGAAGTATCAAAAGAAGTTTCTAGAAAAACAATTGTGCTTGAAGACTGGTAAGTTTTCTTACCAGTTTCCATGATAAATATCATTTGTTCCCACATATGTTAAGTTTGTGATTTTTTTCTATTTTAATTTATATGTTCAGGCATTTAAAATATTTTTAAAAAGCTCAATTGTCTTTAATTCACATCTATTGATTTTCTGGCTTGTCAAATAATTATTTACAATAGTGTTGCTTCTTTCCAGACTTACTACAAAAACAATATTTCATCATCTTGTGAAAAGGAGAGTGGTTTGGAATTATCTCTTAAACATTTAAATATAAGTAGCAATAAGGAAACAGAAACAAGACATAAAATAATTTTACAAGAGATTATAAAAGTGAATTTACTTTAAGTTACAAATTGAGTAGTAATTACTTGAATATATCCAAAACCTCAGCATTGGTTTACTATATGAATATTCACAACTCATGTACACAAGTTCCTTATAGACAATCGAGTTCCTTTGTTTCTCTTATAAATAAATAAAACAAAATTAAGTTGTGCATTTTACGATCTATACACTTTGCACTCTAATGTTCCTCATGTCTTTCAGTAGTACAGGTCGGTAGTTTTGCTCCAAATTTTCCATGAATTCAAAGTAATCACTCACTCGAAACCCATTCAGTGCTTCTTCCTGGAAGAAAAAGAAAATTATATGTGTGTGTGTGTGTGTACATGCATAAAGGGGAGTTTGAATAAAGACACATGAGTCTCACTGCATTAATTTTACATAGTTGGTGCTGAGTTTTCTTTTGTCAGCTATAGAGAGGGATTCTATATTGTTAGAAAAGGTAAAACTGAGAGAAAGAAATCATGTTCTGTGAAACAAGTGTGACTGACCCAAAAACAAAGCTATTTCATGGGTAAAAGTATTTCCTTCCCCACACCCTTTTTTGCCATGGCTTATGTTGTCACAATGACCAGTGACCATGCTTAACCATGTTGCTAGCACATTTTTTAAAGCTGTAGTCCTTAGCCCGGATTGAACACCAGTTTGTTGGCGCTTGTATATTTTTTTCAGTTCTGGTGCTTGCTGATGTCTATACCTTTTTGTTGTGCTCAAACGTACCTGGGTATGATGGAGCTGGAAATCTCTCATGGTGCTGGCTGACAGACAGCAGAGCGGTAAGGCTTTTACTTGAGATAGGCTCAAAGCATGAGGGACAAGAGAGATTTGCACTTGTGACCATACACTTACTACAGGTCAAAGAGTGGGCATTTTAAAGATCTCATATGCCACTGGTCAATTATACAGTATAGTTCACAAGTTCCATATACATTGGAATAAGAATGCACTTAATTTGTCATACATTACTTAAAATAGGGGTGATTCCTGGGAATATTGGATTAGTTCTTTAAATTATCACTGATAATTAACAAACCCTTGAATATCCAGCTAAAGAAACTAAATGATATTGCTATATGTAATATATCATTTAGACTAGAGATAATAATTTATGAAATAAAAATCTGGACTCTATAACATAATTGTGATATGTTATCCAACTTTTCATTCCTTCATTTATTAACCCATTTATCAGCTTATTTTATATAAAGTTCCTGAACCCATTTATCAGCTTATTTTATATAATGTTCCTGGTTATATACTAAAGACAAAAAGATAAATGAGAAATACGGCAGTCTTAAAAGTTACCTGCTTATGAGCCAGGGGTGTGGGGGCGACTAAAACCTCATGGGAAGGGGGTCGTTCCGGTCCATCCTTCACGCCCTACCAAGGTCACCAGTTGCCCCCCACGAGCGGCTCTCTAGCACGGTCACGGCCCCAGAAGCACAAGGACTTAATGCAGAACCCAGCAGCTTGGAGCAGAAAAGTGAACGGACTATGCGTTAATCCAGGCCATCATGTCTGCCCGGAGGGGAAAGGGTATTGCTCCCTTCCGCCCTCCCCCCTCTGGAAGGAAAGATGGCGGCCGCATGGGAGCCTTGTGGAGAGCAGGTATGAGCCGGGGGTGTGGGGTCGACTAAAACCTCATGGGAAGGGGGACGTTCCGGTCCATCCTTCACGCCCTACCAAGGTCATCAGTTGCCCCCCACGAGCGGCTCTCCAGCACGGCCACGGCCCCAGAAGCACAAGGACTTAATGCAGAACCCAACAGTTTGGAGCAGAAAAGTGAACAGACTATGTGTTAATCCAGGCCATCAAGTCTGCCGGAGGGGAAAGGGTGTTGCTCCATTCGCCCTCTCTTCTCTGGAAAGAAGGATGGCAGCCGCATGGGAGCCTTGTGGAGAGCAGGTATGAGCCGGGGGTGTGGGGGCGACTAAAACCTCATGGGAAGGGGGGCTTTCCGGTCCATCCTTCACGCCCTACAGAGGTCACCAGTTGCCCCCCACAAGCGCCTCTCCGTTACGGCCATGACTCCAGAGCACAGAAACCAATCTCTTAATTATCTGACTTTCAGTAGAAATACATCCAGGGTTATTAAGTAAAATAGCGGAAATCTAAAACCAACATTTAATTCTTGAACCCAGCTGTGGAAAGCAAATCATTTCACAATGCTTTTTAGCATGTCTGATGGGGGGGGGGGTAAACTCTAAATAATAGTGGTGCATCTTTTATTGAAACAATTAATCTAATCAAAGCAGATAGAGTGTTAACTAGAATTCATCTGCCTCGCAGGCATCGGGAGGGGGGGAGGAGGGGGTTTATTGGGGTTCTTGGTGGTAAAAAATAAGTATTGGTAAAGGGAAAGGTGTTTGATACTTGCATGACTGAGACCTAAACCTGAAAGCTTTGTAACTTTTCCCACAGTGATTCAATAAATAAATAAATTATTTTAAAAAAAATTACCTGCTGAGGCACATATACATGTACATATATACATATATATATATACACACACACACATATATAGTGCCATCATTAGCTGTATACAATGAATTATAGGAAAGATGTTTGTCAAATGAATAACAATAGAATTAGACTTTTGTAAATTTCTCCCTGATAAATTTGTTTTTGTTCTTTGAAGATGAAAAAAAAAATCAATCACCAATATTAGTATCAAGTAATTCACCTTACTGTTATTTATGTATACATAATAATTATTATTATACACAATAATTTCATATACATGTACTGTATATGAAGTCATTATGAATCTTTCAAATTATCTTCAAACCATGTATGATTTGCCATAACACTATACCCAAATTGGAGAGGAGTTTTAGTAATATGTTATTCTAACCAGAAAATCAAAAACAATGCTGAAATAGTTTTTGATTATCTGGTTAGAATATAAACATGGCACACGTTTAATTTTTATTAAATGTGACTTATAATAGGTGTTGATAACACTTGAACAATAGCTCTAACAGTTCTATTCTAAAAAAATAAGCAAAATCTATTTTAATATATTTTATCATTCTACTGTCTCCTGGTGGACGATTCCACAACGAAATAGAACACATCATATTCAATCGACGGTTTTGCCTGACCGATGTCGCTGTTGTCCCAAAATTTTGAACGGGATCGGACCACCATCTCCTTCGTGCAAAATTCTACTTCACAGAGCAGGGAGAAAGGTCTGCAAAGTTCAAAAAGAGAACTCCCAGAATGACCACCAACTGGGAACTCTTTGGTACTATTGCGGCAACATGGGAAGATGCCATTGTTGACAACATTGACGAGGAATACGATCGACTGGTTCAGCACCTCCATGAATGTGCGAGGAACGCCAAGAGAGAGATAGCCACAAAAATCGTCTATCTTCGAAAAACTCTTGAGCTAATTCACCAGCGTGGTTTGGCGCATGCCTCAGGCAACCGCAAGCTAACGTCCGAGCTCGCAAAGCACTGCAGAGATTCGATCAAGGAAGACCTCAAAGAGAGAAGAGCAGAATTACTGGTAGATGCGGCAGAAGCTGGGAAAAGTATTCGTTACGCCCGCCTGTCCTTCACCAACTATAAGACCAAGATGACTGCCCTCCGATGTCCTGATGGATCCATCACATCCTCCAGAACTGCAATGGAGAAGATTATCCATGACTTCTACTCAAATCTCTTCGATAGCCATGTCCACTTGCCGACATACCAAATTCCACAGGATGGATATGTCGTTCCCAATGTTCTCCCTTACAAAATCCGACACACCATTTTGTCGGTAAAGAAACAAACAGCACCCGGCCCAGACAAGGTCAGACCTGAACACCTGAAGAACCTGCCGTCAGTACTCATCAATACACTGGCTCGGCTCTTCACTCGCTACCTATCTGAATGCAAGGTTCCGTCCCAATGGAAAACCAGCAGGACCGTACTACTGTTCAAGAAGGGAGACATCCATGACATTGGCAACTATCGCCGGATCTGCCTATTGTCTGTCATCTACAAATTGTTCACTCGAGTCATCCTAAATAGGATTGGCAGAACACTAGATGAAGGACAACCATGCGAGCAAGCAGGGTTCCACAAAGGATTCAGCACCATCGACCATATCCACACAATAACCAAACTCATTGAGGTTTCTCGGGAGTTCAAGATGCCGCTCTGTTTAACGTTCATTGATTTAAAGAAGGCCTTTGATTCTGTTGAGACGGAAGCGGTCATTGAAGCCCTAGCCAATCAGGGCATTCAAGCCCAATACATCAGGATCCTCCGTGAGCTGTATTGCAGATTCACTACCAGGATCTCACCATTCTACAAAGAAGTGATCGTTGATGTCAAAAGAGGGGTGCGGCAGGGTGATACCATTTCACCGAAACTCTTCAGTGCCACCCTCGAGAACATCATGCCACGACTGGAATGGGAAGGAATGGGAGTGAAGATAGATGGTCGGCAACTAAACCACCTCCGCTTTGCTGATGACATTGTTTTAATAACACCAAACATCAGCCAAGTGGCACAAATGCTGGCCGACTTTGACCGTGAGTGTGGAAAGGTAGGACTACAGCTGAATCTTACGAAGACAATGTTTATGAGAAACAGCCTCGTTCCTGATGCCCCATTTGCTCTCAATGGAACGACCATCTCCGAATGCAACAGCTATGTGTACCTAGGTTGAGAGGTCAACATGACAAATGACCTGGCACCCGAGCTGCGCAGGAGGAAGAGAGCGGCTTGGAACGCCTTCAAGAACGTCGAAGAAATAGCTAAGAGGACGAAGAACCTCTGGCTCTGGGCACATCTCTTTGATTCCACTGTTCTTCCTGCATTAACATATGCCTCAGAGACCTGGGCCCTACACAAACAAGATGAGAATGCTATTCAGGTCTCCCAAAGAAGAATAGAAAGAGCTATGCTTGGAATATCACGTTTCACTCAAATGAGAGAAAGAATCCGGAGTTCTGACATCTGTCGACGATCAAGGATCAGGGACGCTGTCTCATTTGCCAAGGTGTCGAAAATCAGATGGGCTGGTCACGTAATGAGATTTAAAGACGACCGCTGGACTAGAGCTGTTACTGACTGGATTCCACGGGATGTCAAAAGACCGCGTGGCCGCCCACCTACCAGATGGTCAGACTTCTTCGTCAAGATCATGAATGATCGGTTTGAGGCCCTTCATGTTCCCGGAGCGAACAGATGCCATTGGGCTACACTAGCACGCGACAGGGACAAATGGAGACATTACTGGTGCCCGCTCGAGCAAATCGACGACTAACGGGAAGTTAAGTGATTAAG